AAAGCACGATTAATTTGGTGGACCAGCTTCACTACAAAGATCATACAAATGACAGTCTTCACCAACCATGTTTTGCATCTGACACCATGGTGATGCTGGCAGCACTTAATTAATATGAACGAGCCTGGACAAGCTTGAAAATTCATGCTGGTCTATGCTGGTCTTTCCAGTAGGGAAATTAAAGGACTTAAGCAGTCTAGAAATGGAAAATAATTTGCGTACCTATGCACAAATATCATTAGAAAATGTAGCAAGTAATATGATGTCAGTGTCACTCACTGGTAAGAGAAAGGAAGGAATATGTGCTTCTCTGTGCACGTGGCAGAGGTCATGTGCTTCTTCTGGTTGTCGAACTTATAGTTGCAAGTCTGGGTACTGCCAATCAGCTTGGACAGAGGGTATTGCTTTTGACAAACAAATATAATTTTAAGTACATTATCTGTTTCTTGAAAATTATTTTTTCACCTGTTGTTGGCTCAGTCTGTATGATATCCTGCTTTTGTCAATATTGGTTAGCGTTTACTTGCCTAATCATTACCTGTTTATTTAAACATTCTGTAATTGGTAAATTGCACTGAGGATGATAATTAATGAAACAGAATTTAATTGAATTGAATTTTAATAAATCCACTTAATTTATAATGGATTATAAATCTCATATCTTGACATTTTTTTATTTAAGATCTGCACAGTATCTTACTGATATTACAAATATGGTTAAAAGCAAATGTGGCATATAACACATTCATCTGATCAAATATCTGACAATATGGCTGTTTAAAAAAAAAATATTATTGTTGTTGTTGTTGTCGTCGTCGTTGTTGTTATTATTTATAAGTGGTCTTTGTCTGCTTTATGTAAAGTAACACGTTAACAATGGCAAGATATGAGACTTATAATATAGTATAACTATGGGAAATATAATCCATTGTAAGTGAATGCATTTTGTTTATTGTGTGTTATAAATCATCATACTCTTAAAAGCTATAACTACAAATAAGTAAATATTATAATGCATTAAAACTGTTGTTATAATTAATTATATAATTAATATACAATATATTATGTTTTTTTTAATAATATATTATGCATTCATTATAATGCCCTAAGAATACCCATATAATGTATTATAAATACGGTCTTCATAGAAAGTGTTACCAAAATGTCTTTACATTTTCAGAATTTTTAGTGAAATTATTTGGTAGGCTGAGGTGGGGTGGGGTAAAGAATCACTACTTCTTTTCAGTCAATGGATTATTAGAGGATTTTACACTAGACATGGTTTGCTATTGTACAATATGCACTCAATATTTTCTGATAGCATGTCAGAAATGCTATTATAAGCATACATATAAGCATACAAATGCTACATATAAACAGAAAAAAATTATACGGATAACTCACTGTTTTGAGTAATTATTTCCCACCTCTTATTTTGATTTATTAATTTACCTATAGCCATATGTGGCCAAAGTTATGTGGCCAAAAATAATATTTTTAATTACAATCAATTGCAATAATTGTATTACTACTAACAAATACAAACAAACTACTTTAAGGTAATGTACAGTAATGGTGTAGTGGCGATTGGGGGCTCTGTCGGAGCAAGGATATTTTAGATATTGATTATTCATTACTTTGTATTATAAAAAATAATATTAATACTAAGCAAAAATGCAAAAGCTGGCCTCAGTATTTTTTTAGCAAATCCTGAGAGTACTGAAATAATTGTTTCAAACCTATCATTAGGTTTATGAGGATGTAGAGGCAGTATCATGCATATCATGAAATAGTCTCCTATCAGCTGACTACCTGGGTCAAGATTACCTTGTACCTTCATTGGAATTTATTATTCCAGATAAGAAGATTCATATCTTATTTGCTTAGTGTTTAAGTGGGTGTCCATAACAGCAGTGCTTAAATTAAATTAGTCTAACAAGTTCAACATACAATAAAAGGCAATTCATTTATTTTCAGATTAAGGCCTAAAGGAAGAAGAAAACGTGTTTATGTACCATGTCTTTGCTCTCCTCCTTCTCCATGACAGGAACAATCAGAGCAGAGATGATACCCCTCTTGAAGTTCAGGATGTTGGTTTCATCTCCCTCAGGATAGAGTGTCACACCTGTCTCACCCTCAATTACAAACTTCAGTACATTTCTGTACAAAGAGAAGGAATAGTTGTTGAATCACTTGTTGAAAAGTTCCTGATCAATTTTAAAATCAGTTTATTCCAAACTGGAGACCGGTCTTACAATGTATAGTTTTAGAGGTATTTTAAATTTTCCATTGGCTGTTGGTATATTTAAGCAATATTGGCTGTGCTCATTTTGAATATTTGCAGACCTAACATTATTTTCTCTAAAGGGAAGGGGAACATACTTTTCTATGGCTGCTTGAAAGGCTTGGGCCTCAGCAGCAGGTGCATAGATGGGCGCGCCATTTGCATCCGTTCCGACCACCTCAGTTAGGGAGCACTCACTGGTACGGAGCTCAAAGCTGCATGCCACAGGCACATCAATTTCGACCTATGGGTAGAAGGGTGTTAATGAATTTAAGGAATATAAAAACAGGAAAGACATATTGAGAAACTGAATTGTTACATGATTTTTCACCCTTCATTTGTTACATGTACCTTGCAGGAGATTTTGGGACCATTCGTGAGAGGGGAAGTCCCAGTCACCCTGTTCTGGATCTCAGCTTCATATTGATATGTATATTTTTTGTAGATCTTAAATCTTTTAGATACTGTAAATGAAATACATACTATGTCAATTCAAAAATGATATTTTTGTAAGAATAATAACACACTCAGAAAAAAAATCATGTTCTCAGTACATTTATTTTTCAATTAATTTATTGTTGTCCAATAAAAATTGTTCAACAAAAATGTAGGACATACCATATATAGGATTATAGGATTATATATATAATTGTAATAAAAGGGCTAAAGGGTGTTGAAGGGCCTTTAACTTCATTGACTGTCATTATATATTCTTAATATTGCTTACAGTTAAAACACTAAAATATGTCGGACATAAACTTTCAACAAAATATTATTCTGTTACAGGCAAATGCAATACAAATGCCACAAATGATGGGATTCCACTCGACAATAGTGGAGTAGTTACCCAGCAGAATCCCAGTAGTTACTACCAAATACCATTTTCTCTAGTGACATATGTGAGTCATGTCCTAATCACAGTTATTTTCAAGCAACATGCCCTCTCCCAATTTACAACCCTTATCTTTAAAACCAAGTCAGTGTGCAAAAGTTCAGAGAACATTTCAACTATTTATTCCTAATGGACTGTGTTCTGAATTATCTACTCTAAATTATCTACAGTATCATTAGCACAGGACCTGGATCTTATGGAAAGGAAATAAACAACATGTGTTGAGTCTCAAATCTTATCTCAAATTTTAATTTTGTTTTATTTTATTGTGCTTAACTTCTAATGGTTCAATGGTTCAATCATAGTTCCATACTACATTTAAAATCTGAATATTGTTGTAAATATGTATGCTTATTTCTTGCTAGAAATGGAGTATGGAATTACCGTATTGGCCCGAATATAAGACGACCCTGATTATAAGACGACCCCAGCAACATCTACCTCAATGGCATCAGTTTCAAAGGTCTTCAGAATACTGAACATGGCGCTGCCACACTCTGGGGTGCCACACTGAATCAGGGCCTGCCAGGTCATGAACTTGTCCTCCTCCACCATCTGAGTAATGGTCTGCTTCAGAACCTCATGCTCGAGTCCACGGAGTTCAGACACCAAACTCTGGAAAGTGCTGGCCCTCAGCTGCCGATCTGGCTTTTCGTTCATGGATTTCAGCTCCCTGAAGATGAACAGCAGAGCCTCGGAGGTCTGGGCTGGGGCTTTATCCTCCACTGCCTCTAGAGCCAAGTGTTTGGGGTAAGTAGAACCTGTATTTTGGAGAGCGGGATGATTTGTGAGTGAAAGGCTACATAGTCACAACCAGGGAAAAAATGAAGTCAGCACATTCCCAACACTTCTATCATTTTTAACCAGACAAATCAAATCCAAAGTTCTCAAATCTATTTGAGATATACAGTGAAACTGGGAACACTCACGATAATCAAAAACTCTGTCATTAATCTTGCTGGTTCCCTCAAGAGTTAGGATTTGTTTAACAAGAGAAGAAATACCATACGTATTCCTGCAAAGAAAATGAAATACATATAAATGAATTAAAATATGATGTTCCATTCATGCACAAATATCATTAGAAAATGTAGCAAGTAATATGATGTCAGTGTCACTCACTTGTAAGAGAAAGGAAGTAATATGTGCTTCTCTGTG